TAGGGTTAAACCCCATCTGTCTTGTTTTTGTTTTGTGTTTTATATTTATTCGTTAGTTTATGTGTCGCTTTACTTTTGTATTAAGTTTATTGTTTGATGGCGGCGCCAGTATAAGTTATTCTGACTTGAGTACGTCGCCATTGTGTCGGTATTTCTTTATATATATAAGTTGTTAGCACCATTATACATGAAAATAACGATGCCATGTTTTAAAGTTTAAAAAACGTGTAAAATCCCTTTTGCACACGTCTAGAATGATGGCTTTTCTTGTACACATGATTTTTAGCTTTAAATAGCATCTTGTTAAGCAATTTGCTTAATTGAGACTAATATGAGTGGCAAGCAGAACATAACGAGTCATGCCATTCTTATTTATCTGATTGATTTTAATTGTTAATCACGTTATGAAGGGAGGCCTCCTCATAAGCATTTTATGCTTCCGGCTTCCTTGCACTGTTATATTCCATTTATATTTTCTTGTATTTGTATAGTTACATTTTGTTTTAAAGTGCGAAAATAAACTGAAACTTAAACTGAATGGCAAAGCTCTCCTGGCCCCTCTTTGCCGTAGCCGTTCACAGATCTGCCGTCCTTGCCCCGAGACAAAAAGTTTCCCGATCTTTCTGGTTTACCAACTGCAGACAACGCAAATGTTATGATTATATGAATATAAGGTCCGTACTTGGGAGACCAAGGATCAGTCGAACAAACCCGGTCTATATGCTTACACTTTTTTAGCCCCTCACTTGAATCACACGGGCCCCACTTATATAAGGTTCCAGGTCGGAGTTTAATTCTGACCAGAGTAAGTGCGCAGTAAATCGCCGGAAACGTGACTTTGTATGGTATGTTTTGGCCGCGATATCCCTGAAATCGTAATATCTGTGTACATATCTTTGTATTTACTGAAAAGCCTGTTAGTTGTAGCCTTTATAGGTGGCGTAATGTTGGTGGTCCAGCTAAGACTTCCTGGTATTAGTCCGCGCGGATGGTTATGTGGCGTTTTCGCCTGACCGCCGGGATGGTACGTTCTATATGCATTGTGGGTGTGTTCGGGCCATCGAAGATAGCGATAAACTTATCGCATCGATTTTAATTAAATTCAAATTTTGGAAACATTAGGTTTTGAGCTTCTTCGAGTACTAAGCCGTTACCCTGGGAAAATTCGTTTTTTCCATGCAGCCATGGTTACAAATGACGAAAAAAATGACCCCTTATTTAAAAATGTACTTTGATGCGCCTTATTTACCCCTAAATAAATTGGGCGCAGAAAATATCAATCAATTGTATTAATAAGCGGCACGGCACCCCTTTCCACCAAAAGAGTAAAAAATTCCGACCCGCGTTTAGTACAGAAATGACAGCCCGTCGGGCTGAGGGTGTCAAATTGCTCGAAATACGAAAGGAAACTCCGGTCCGAGACCTTAAACCAAACTCCAGAAGTAACCAAACCGATACAAGGCACTGCATGGGCCTCCTGACCTCCATAAAAATGAGGTATTGTTTTTGGCGTGTGTGTGTGTGTGTCTGTGTGTCTGTGTTACCGTTACATTTGTAGTCAGCAAAATTTCATAACGCCTTTATGGATTATAGTGATATTTGGTATGCTGGTAGGTCTTAGGAAGACAAAGGTCAAGGTCAAATATGGGCCTCCTGGTGGATGACCTTGCGGATACTGCAGCAGAACTTCCGGTCTTTGTATATTTTGTCCTGAACATGCTATGGTCTTGACTTTTTAGTGACAAATAGCTTTTTATTTAAGGAATGAGTAGTGTGAGTTTAGTCCCCCTAGCAGCTTGATCTGAAACTGCAGGGCACTTTCTGGCGAAATCTTTAAAAGCCAATAAGTCCAGATAGAAACAACGTATTGTCAACATTTTTGGTATGTAGGTAGCTGAGAGAGTTGTACATAGTTAAATGCAAATTATGCTAATACGGACTTAGTTTGCATAATTAATGAGAAAATTCTATAATAACAGTGTTCCATATAATAGTACTTTTATATATGTAACTTATTCAATATGCGGCAGGCGGAACATCAACAGATAACAATTATGCAAATGATGAACTAATTTGCATAATCAATGTGAAATTCTGTGACATGGGTAAGTTACTTTAAGGTTAACACCACTATGCATATATTTTGTTAATGTGGAGGTCATTTGCATAATTAATAAGGACATGTGGAAATCAAGTATGACAAAGTAGAGTAATTTTACACGAAAAATATTGTCATTCGAATTTAGAAAATCATAAATTAAACTAGATTATGTTAATTACGACCTTATTCCCATAGTCAAGGAGACAAAAAACATTTACAAAAAGTCATATTTAATGGAGGTGTGAGATCTCCAAATTCTTGTTACTAGTGTGAGGTTGATAAAGGGTTGTTCCAGTTCAACATAACCTAACCTAACAAACATAACACCTACATAACACGTGTCACACGTACGGAGTGTGAGTTTGTTTAGCCCACTTCCCAACCTCTTCCTGGAGTTACATTAATTAACGGTTATAGTGACCGATATAAAGATCTCATGTAGGTATTAATACACGCTGTTCCAATGCAATAACACATTTTTTTTTACTTTGAAACGGCTGTTTAAGATGGATTCGATTTAATTTATTGCTAATTTTTTGTCTAAAAAGCTATTCTGCAATGACTTTCTAGCTCATAAATAGACAATAAACAATATGAAATATTCAGATACATTAACGGGGGTAACAGAGAAGTCATATATGAAGGTCTTTTTTTCCTTCTAATTAAAATCTTACTCAGACGAGGGGGGCAACAATTGAATTTTCTGTTTCTGATAGTCATCTTTTGTAAAATTTAATTCAGTAAATGTGGTTAAAAGATAAAAGAAATTATATTCATTTACACACCAATTCTAACATCAATAACATCTTGTATAATTATATGTAATCTCTAGCCATAAATATTCATTTATACTAATTTGATAACAGTATTGGTCAAAATCCAAAATGTCCGACCAGTTTTAAGCTGCTATGTAACCATTTTATTTTTCACAAAACGTATTGAAATACGACAACATAATGCCGCATTTTTTACACAAAATGGTTATATAAATATTTTTAGTCATTAACACTGTGTTTGAAGTCTGCTTGAATTCTTGACAAACAATGTGATTTAAAAAATTCAAGAATGGTGATCGACGATACCGGATGTACACTATTTTGCTAACGTTTGGTTGTATTCCCATGAGTTTCGTGAAAAACCTACATAACACGTGTCACACGTACGGAGTGTGAGTTGGTTTAGCCCACTTCCCAACCTCTCCCTGGAGTTACATTAATTAACGGTTATAGTGACCGATATAAAGATCTCATGTAGGTATTAATACACGCAATAACACATTTTGTTCCAATGCAATAACACATTTTTTTTTACTTTGAAACGGCTGTTAAAGATGGATTCGATTTAATTTATTGCTAATTTTTTGTTTAAAAAGCTATTCTGCAATGACTTTCTAGCTCGTAAATAGACAATAAACAATATGAAATAAAAACGAGTAATATTCAGATACATTAACGGGGGTAACAGAGAAGTCATATATGAAGGTCTTTTTTTCCTTCTAATTAAAATCTTACTCAGACGAGGGCAACAATTCTATTTTAATTAGTTAATGGATTTTCTGTTTCTGATAGTCATCTTTTGTAAAATTCAGTAAATGTGGTTAAAAGATAAAAGAAATTATATTCATTTACACACCAATTCTAACATCAATAACATCTTGTATAATTATATGTAATCTCTAGCTATAAATATTCATTTATACTAATTTGATAACAGTATTGGTCAAAATATGGATGTACACTATTTTGCTAATAATTGGTTGTATTCCCATGAGTTTCGTGAAAAAAAAATTGACGGATTGAAATAACGCCATGACACCAAAGTTGCTATGACTTAGTTTTAATTTTCACAACTATAACTTTCTCTGAAAACGCTTAAGTAAAAACGGCCTCAAATGTCGATCCCCGTTCCTAGAATGACCCAAAATGTCAGAATAGGAATGGTGCAATTTCAGGGACGTAGAAACAAAAATATTTTGTGCGGAAATCTGTCATCATTTCATACATTAGCGTTTAAAAAAGCCCCAAACTAATAACGTGAGACTTCGACTATCCGGTTTCGTCGCCCTGAAATTGCATTGGATATACGTATATGTTGCATAAAGTTTACAGCAAACCATATACGGAGTGCTATGTTTATTGTATAGCTGTTCAGTAGCTGGAGGCTACTGAAGAGGTATGGCTTTCCCTCCATGCCCAAGATGCTTTATCTTCTGTGAACTAGACTGAGACTTCATCAAAAATCCTTCCAAGTAACAGTGCTGCACATATTCATTTAGGGAGCATTGCGCCTTTATATTATCGCATTCTGTACTGCAGTATGGCGGCGAAAAGAAAAGACCATCTTTTGGAACCGTTCCATGATCACGCTTCAGCCTGTCTTGATACCTGCTGTTTCTGTCTCTAATTAGGTAATAGTAACATAAGTGAAACGTTTTTGCCCATGTGCAAAATTCCGAGTCAATCTTAAAAGCTGAATTCCAGGGAGATTCTGAGATGAAAATGGGTTCCATGACTGAGTAGTCGGAGTTGCAGTGAATTCGCATCTTCCGTTCGACGCTTTGAAAATGCGACAGTTCCTCAGCAAAGTCGTCTTCAGTAGCTATTTTCTTCCAGAGTGTTTCGTTAAAGTATTTGTATAGGGCATAGTCCATGGCAGCCCACTCTTTATGGTTGTCTCGTAGTCTTTGTGGGATAGAACTGGTATCATATTCTGAAGAATAATTATAGTTGTTGTACTTGTAGTACAAAACGTCCTTTAAGTCCCAACACATCAGACGCCTCAAAAGCACCAAAGATTCGTCAAAGTGGTCTGATATCATTACAAGGTCAAAGTCCCGAGAGATATTATGTATAAACTGTTTGCTGATATTAGAAATCTTATTCTTCTGAGATGGGCGCAGCCATTTTTGAGAGAAACCTAGGTCTAATGCCATCGGATTCGTTAGTTGTTTAAACTTATCGTAAAATGCCGGCTTTTCCAGGAACTCCTTTATAGGATATGCAGCAGTGATATTAAAGGCCTTTTTGAAGCCGTAGAATGCGAAATTAGATTTAAAGTGCTCAAACGGTTCTCTGAGTATCGTGACGAATTTAGCTTCCGATGTAAGTAGACGTACTATGTTTGTGCGATTGTAAACGGTGTGATATGTAAGTATATCGTGACTTTCCCCTTGTGGTGGCGTAAGTTTTTGTGGATCGGATAGTCCGTAAGGATACAAGCCATTCACATCTCTTGATTTATGCTGAACAAATGAAAGTTTCCGAAGGTACCCAAACCGTTGTAGAATCTGCATCACGGTGCTGCTTGCGGCTTTGTGCACCTTTATAAAGGCGATCTTTGTTGTAGGGTTGCAGGTCGGCTGTCCTGGAATGCGTCTGCAAGAAATAAAGACATTCTTAATTTTAAATGACATCACAAAGATGAAATATAGAAGTACTAAGTTTCATCGTTTATACACTTCTAAGAAACAAGGTATAAGGGATCTGATACACTTTATTGTATCCTAGATTGGTGGTAAAATCTTGGCCAAATTGTCTCGACCATCTTTCGAACCAAATGCACGATCTAAAGTAATCCGAATCAAACTACGTTCGATTTCTATTCACCCACGTCAGTTACAGTAAACGAAGCTTAAGCCCTTACACATCTTTTCTTGCATAGAAAAAATTTACAAGTTTTGCAAATTTTTACAAATATAAACTGTTTTCTAAACAATGAATCCATGTTAACTGTATATAGTGGGAGGCCTGGGTAAGACCGTGTAGCTTGAGAAGTAAAAGTTACTATTCAAGACATGTTTAAAATGAGACACACGAAATAGTTTGATTTACCAGTAACCCAGAATATTAAGTACACTAGTATCGGCAGTCCATACTTGTTTATCTGAGAGCAAGTAGGCACCACATTTACAAGTCATATTCCAGACTAAAATTACTAAATTTAGCAGAAAATGCCTGCCATGGCAACACAAAAATTATTATCTTATTCCAATGATACAGATTTGTTGCCAACAATATTCTAGGAAGAGTCACCAAGTTTGGCTGTTCTAACGCTAGCCGTTTAGACGCTTCGTGACATCAAAGTTGGCGCGGGCACTTTCCTCCCCTCACGGTCTAGATAGGGTTAAGTCGCCTAGTATCGGTAGTTCGTGATCGGTTTTAGTCGCCATATTAACTACCAGTATCGTTTTGTGTAGGTAATTTTTGGCACTTGGAGGCCGGTATAGACATCCTACTCAGATTGGTTTTGTGTATGGGATGCGTATCTCCGCTCATATGATTTCAACGTCCAAGGTTTCCAGGTCAACTTGCCTTTTGAACGGAATGTTTTTTAATGAATATAGCAACATCCCCACCTTTGGTATAATGTTCTTTACGTAATATGTAATCACCGACATTAAGTATTTCATTATACACAGTATTATCTAGGTGTGTCTCAGAGATAGCAAGGATGTCGCATCATCACTAGCATTTTTCTAAGAAAGACATATTGATTGAGGACTCCAGGAATCCAGAGTACAAAAATATGCGACTTACAGTATGGTGGTAATCAGATTATCGTCTAGTCACTGCTAGCCCAGACGCAGCTGCGTATAAATGTGCGCCTTATTATCATATTAACACTGGTGTTTACATTGATGTGATTATCGTCGTGTGTTTAGAGCCAAAATTAACACAGCAGTACAGTTTAGTCACAATTTCACATGAAACAGTGGATTATTTATACGTTGCTATCAACTGCTGACCATTAGTTTCATAACTAATAACTTAACATATGCTCAGAAACTATGCAGGGTTTGTCGGTATTATTTGTCGGGCTCGATTGTAGACACCTTCCCCTCAGGTAGCGCCGCTGTAATGCGCCTACGTTTTTCCGTCAATTTTCACTATCCTTTTTTGATATCGCGGTACGTAAAATAATATGCTTGGGACAACCAAAAGGAAACTAAAATAAACGAAAACAAGCAAATACTTTCGCGTTTGGGACAAATTTGCCGAAGAGTTTTCGGAAGGTGTCTCACCACGGACGATGACCTCTGACCTCTCGTAAAGGTTCCCTCTGAGATGTGAAGGTCTCTGAGATGTGAAGGTTCCATCTGAGATGTGAAGGTTCCCTCTGAGATGTGAAGGTTCCCTCTGAGATGTGAAGGTCTCTGAGTTGTGAAGGTTCCCTCTGAGATGTGAAGGTTCCCTCTGAGATGTGAAGGTTCCCTCTGAGATGTGAAGGTTCCCTCTGAGATATGAAGGTTCCCTCTGAGATGTGAAGGTTCCCTCTGAGATGTGAAGGTTCCCTCTGAGAGGAAGTTGGTAGAGGTGGTGAATCTTTCTATTGTGAATTTGAAGGTGGTATGTGCTGTGTTGAGGTCCTGTATAAAAGATTTGAAGTCTTCTTCTACATGTGTCCAGATGGCGAAGATATCGTCTATGTACCTCCACCAGACAAGTGGATTTAGGTTCCTCTTGTAGACGTGATGTTGGCGTATGAAGGTGCCACTCTCGTTCCCATAGCTGTGCCTTGGACTTGGATGTAATGCCCTCCGTTAAACTCGAAGTTATTGAGGTTCAGGATCCTGTCTAGTAAGTCGCAGATGGTTTCAGTGAGGACGTCCGATGTTTTTTTGTCGAAAGCTTTCGACATGCTTGTATCAATTCTTCTGGTTGGATGGATGTTAGTGTACAGAGATGACACGCTTAGTGACCAGTTTGGCCGGTCGCGATCGGTGACATCTTCCAGTTTGGAGTTTTCACGGTAAGAAGCCCTTGATGTAGAAGGACAGTCTTTGCACTAAAAGGCGGAGATGAAAGTCGCCAAACTGAGAGATCCTTTCTGTGGCACAGTCATTGGCAGAAATGATAGGCCTGCCCGGGTTGCCTTCCTTGTGGATTTTTAGAGAAGGTAGAAAACGGGCGTTCTTGGGTGTACATCAGCTAGATAGCTGCTGTATGTCTTCGTTTAGAAGTTTAAGAAGAGTTGTTCTTACTAGCGCGGCGTGCTCCTCCGTGAGACAGGAGTTGGTCTTCTTGTAGTGATCCTAGTTGGAGAGTTGACGTAACGCAGCTTGGGTGTGGTCCCCTCTTTTCAAGATCGCTATATCGAGGAGCCCTTGTCTGCGGGTTTGATGATCATATCAGTTTTTTTAGCCGAGTTCCTTGCGGCCTTGGTGGAGGCTCCTTGTGTTCATATTTCCTTCTCGACTGCCATGATGAAAGTATTTATCGCCGGATCTCTATGGGTTGTTGGAGTCCACTTGCTTTAGACCTCCATGGAACCCGCGCGCGGAACCCCTGGTAACCTGATACCCCTCCCCAAATTGGAAACTTGATCCTAGAATTTGACCACCGTGATATCCAAATCCAAACATCAAACATTAAATTTTACGTTTAGGGTCCTATACAATTAGTTGTTAAGTTATCATATAACATTTTTTATATCGGTGATTGATTATATTTGAAAGAATGTATATGTACAAGAAAGATTAGCAACGGCAGAGAAAACGGCACGCGTGGCAAATACCTCCCTAGCAACGTTTCCCTGACCAGCAACTGACCAACGTGTTAAATAAGATCAGCTTGGCATAAGTTCGTCATTGTTTAAAAACATCGTCTAACTGCTCTTTCCTATATGGTTATTTATTTTCTTAAGGTAAAGATCGCCCTTTTATACAATTCTTAGGCAAACCTAGAGGTACAAGTAAGTAAAATTAACAAGTACACGGAGTACACTTTACGTTTTTAAACAACGTACACGTTTACAGCAACGAAACACACTGCAAGCTATAATTACACTTGTTCATAGTCAATAGCAAGGAAATTATCTTTACCGGTATGTCAATTGCGAATCCTCCACCTTGTCATCTGGTGATGTTTTCTTTGATCTGTGAAAGTAGTTATAAAATGTCACCCACATTGCTGAGACAGGACGGGATAGCTTTTGAGGCTCGTCTCTGTTACTCAACAACCACTTATCGTAGGGCCACAATTTGTAAAGAATGATGCAGTTACGGCGTTATTGGATTTTTTCGCCTTAAAACATAAAAAAATTGTTCCGGGAAAAATCAAAGGAATACAACCAAGCTTTAACAAAAATAGTCTATTATATAAGATAAGGGTTTGCAAAGACTTGTGCTCCCCTGGCAACAAAACAGACGCCAAAGTGACGTCATAAAATGACGCCATGCATATTTATGTTGTGGGCCATCGTGGATCGTCAAAGTTGAATTTTTGAAATTCCCTTTTGTCAAGATACCACCTCAAAAACTATGTTTACATGAACGTTTTATGTAAAAAAATGGGATTGTAATGTTAAATTAGTGAATGAAACTTGTTTACACCAAATACTAATGATCGGGTTGTAAGGCAATTACAGATGGTCATCAGCATGCATTACATTTACGAAAAACACAAAACATTTTATGAAGGTACGAGGTCGCTGAACTAGATTTCTAGTATATTTTATTAAAAAGCTCTTAACTAATATCGACTGGCACATGCGCTTAATAAACAATGTTACAGCAGGCATTGTTAGCAAACTGCATTTCCGTTTTGTTACTCCGTGAATAAGGTATACAGGTACCTCCTGGCAGTGTATTGTGGCTAATCGGTTTTTCGTGTTCACACTGGGTTCCCTTTGTTTAATAGGCATGCAATTTTTTCGTCGTCTGCAGGCTTGCTCGTGTTTTTTTACAGTTGCTGTTTTTGCGGTCCATGTAATATTTTAGATGCACCCCTATTTTGAGGGCATATTTGACTGGCCTAGCAAAACACGTTGTCATGAATAGCGGAGGGGGGGGGGGTCAAGCAGACGTAGAGTGGGTCGTCTAAGAATTACCAGATGTAGTTCGTCCGTTGTTCATGTATGGTGTTCGCAGTAAAAAAACATAGTTGTGTCCGTCGTATGTCTCTGTAATTGGGCATGTACTGTGCCATTATTTTCGTGATGATGACCTTTTTACAGTAATCGGTTTTATTTTGAAGTACATTAATATTTCAAAAACACCCCTACTTTTACAATGCTGTGGAATAGGCCGTTGGTTTAGGTAGTTGTCTGATAGCCGACGTTCTTTAAGCAGATATTAGGTGGTTGTTGTGCATAAACGATAGTTGCGAGTATCCTCTGTTGGGATTGTGGTTTGCACCTACTGCGATACCTTGTCAAGGAATAATATGTATTAAATGAAATGTATTGTTATGAAAGATGGATATGTTCATCTATACGATTTTATGTAGCCTTTGTTTACACTAGTCAATCTGAAAGTGTTTTCTAGTTGGTTAATGACCCCATCCCAAGTGTGGCGGCAAACGTTTTGGC